AAACCCAAGGAGGGGTCACTATGAGTCGGGCCAACTGGATGGCACCTAACAACAACATGTTTTCTTTGGTGTATATGGAGGTTTAAAGGTCTTAAGTGTGACCCACTTCCACTGGTTCAAAAGACACATTCAGATAAGAGGGGAAGGCAAGAATAGGCTGGAAGTGGGGTCTTCAGGAGGGTCAGAAGGCTTGGTTAAAGGGTGGTGGGACTGTCAATCTTTTTGTTAGTCAGCAATGCTGAACCCCATAAGGCTTATCTCTGCCGCCCCAGCCTGCAGCCCGGTAGGAAATGGTGGATGACAGGGAGATTAGGAGGACAAACTGGCCTCCTGCAGAGCTGATATTTAGACAGGGGTGGGAGAGAGAGGGGGCATAGTGACAACTCCCCCTACCCTCCAGGCACACACACTTTCTATTACAGCTTGGAAGCAGAGGTTACCCGGTGGAGGGGGCAGATATGGAGAGCTGCCAACCATGAAAAACTCCAGTCCATTCTACCCCATTATTATCACAAGTTTCCATATGAGGAAACTGAAACGCAGTAACTTGCCCAAGGTCACGTGGCCAAGTCGCGTAACCTCAGTTTCCTTATCTGCAAAGTAGCGTTAATAATAGGAACTACCTCATAGAGTCGTGGCTAACAATGCCCAGTGTATACTTGCTAGCATCACAATTACTTGCCCTAAGACTCCTTCCATTCCACCACTCATTTTCACAGCTAATATTTGGTGTGCGCTTTGTGTGCGCCACCTTTGTGAATATTAACTCGTAAGATCCTCCACAGTATTTATCATCACCATTCACATTTTGGCCGCCACCATTAACTGGAGCTTCAACCCCACTCGTGGCGCAGTGGCCAGCCTGCCCGCGATACGTCATCACTGAGCGCCGCGCGGGAAGCGGCGAGGAAGTGGGAACTCGCCCCTTCCGTGCTCCCTCCCTTCATTGCTGTTGTTGTTGTTGTTGTTATTTGCCATCGAGTCAGCCCCGACTCATAGCGACCCCTCCTTGGGTTTCCGAGGCAGTATCACTACGGAAATAGGATTGCCCAACCTTCCTAGCTCTCTTGAAACTTTGCAAGGCACAGTTGGCGCGGGTCCGAAGGGTTCCTAAGGTGACTTAGCAGGAGCAGAGTGGTGGTTGTCACGGCCGGCAGGATGGCAGTGGCAGTGGCAGCGGCACCAGCTGGGGGAGGGGAACGCTTGAGCCCAGTACGAAACCACCAGCGTATAGTTCACGCAGGCGCCTGCTGACGCGCAGGTTTTGTGAGCTCACGGAAGGTGCAGCCAGCGCGAGGGGCGTGGCCTGGGAGAGCACAGAGGGAGTTGATGTGGGCGGGATCTCGGCTGGCAGTTGAGAGTACTGGCCCAATGGAAAGGAGGAACCCAGGAGCTCGCAGCCCCACAGGTTGCCAGGAATTTGGCAGAGAGAGGCAGAGTTCGAGAAAGGGGCTGCTCCCAGTGAGTGAAACCGAAAGGATTGGTCGACAGCTGATGCGGGAAGGGCGCGGAAGCTAGCGGGAGGCGGCTCTGGACTGGTTAAAGGGGCTTCGTGCAACGTTAAACGTTGGGTCTGGGCAGGGGGTGGGGTCTGGAGGAAGGAGGAGGCAGCCCCCTAAGGGGGCGAGACTTACTGAAACGTTAGGGGCGGGATCTCGTGGAGTGGAATGTGCCATCCCCGATAAGGGGCAGAGTTAGATGAATCGTTAAGAGTGCAGTCGGGTCTGGGGCTGAGTCTGGTTGGTTGAGTGAAAGGGTGGCCGATTATCCTGCGAGATAGGAAAGGGTAGGTTTGTGAAGGGGTGGGGTGTGGGTGAGACGTAGAGGAATGAGAGTTTTGGAATGGGGCTAGATAGAGTAGAAGGGCGGGGATTAATGGCTCAGTGAAAGGGCAAGGATTTGAAGGGGGGAAGAGAATAGTGTTAAAAGGGGTGGAGACTAGTTAAATGGCTAAGGGGACACCCCAGTGGAGGAAAAGGGTTTGGGGAGAGGCAGAGTTTAGAAGGTGTTGGGGAATAGGATAACATAAGGGATAGAGTCTAGTATAGGGGGCGGGGCCTGAGAAAGGATATGGGATCTTCAGAGTACTCCTGCTCGTTACAGTCACCTCTGCCTCCCCCCCACACCCGACACAGGACCGCATCAGGGGTACAGTCTCCCGGACCATGACCTCCACCGGCCAAGATTCCACCACAACCAGACTTCGAAGGAATAGGCACAACCCCCACTCCCCCCACCACGACTCCAGCGTCACCTCGGTGAGGTCCAGATCAGCCGTGATGAGGGGGAGGGGAAGCAGGGGGCAGTCCCCTGGACTCTGACCCTTCTTTCTGCTCTACAGAAGAGAGGTGTTAAGAAGGGTGCCGTACCCCGCACCGGCCCCAGTCTAGCAGAAGTAAAGAAGAAAGGTAGAATGAAGAAACTCAGCCGATCAGCAGAGCAAGACCTAATCTTAGGGCTTCAGGAGCTGGTGAGAAGGGCTTGGCCTGGGTTTAGCCTCCTATGACGACCAGAAGCCTAAGAACCTGAGGTTCCCCATCCTGGACAGTATGAGATGTTCCCTCTGACTAAAGGCACCTTTAATTGGATCTGTGTCCCCCATTTTTCCCCTGCAGGATCTGAACCTTGAGGCCACGGCACTGTCTGGCACAGGCTTGGTGTTGGATGAGCAACTCAATGAATTCCACTCCCTCTGGGATGACAGGTGAGGCTAAGTCTGGTAAGCAATCCCCAAAAAACACAAGAGCAAGAGTAATCCTTTCTTAGGGAAGCCTAGAAACTGGAAGCAAATGATTTAGGGAGGTGGGGCTTAGACTTGAAAGGGTTCTTTTTAGCACCCACTATGTGCCAGGAGCTCTGCTGGCATTATGGGTAAAGCATTCAGCTGTTAACCAAAAGATCGGTGGTTAAAACCCAGCAGCCACTCCATGGGAGGAAGATGTGGCAGTCTGCTTCTGTAAACAGCCTTGGAAACCCTAGGGGGCAGCTCTACTCAGTTCTACAAGGGGTTGTCATGAGTTGGAATCAACTTGATGGCAACTGGTAGTAGTGTGCCAGGACCAGGAGTTGGTGGTACAATGTAAACAAGACAGACAAATTCCCATCTCAGGGAGCTGGTAGGAGAGCTTATCATTAAACAGCCAGTCCAAACCAAACCAAACTCACTGCCATTGAGTCAGATCCGACTCATAGCAACGCCTCCTTGGGTTTCTGAGGTGGTATCTCTACAGAAGTAGATTGCCCACTCTTCCTTCTGAGGAGTAGCTGGTGGGTTTGAACCGCCAGCCTTCTGGTTAGCAGTCAGATGCCTTAGGCACTACACCACCAGAGCTCCACTAAACAGCCAGTAGCAGTGTGAAATGTTTAACGAAGGAAGACTTAAGACCAGAGGATTCAAGAGTGTTTAATAGAGGGCCCTAAGCTAGCATCCAGGGTTCCTGGAAGGCTTCTTTGAAATAGGGACATTTGTGGTGTAATCCATCAGTAAATCCTTACTGGCTCTATGTTCAAAATGTACATGTTCAGTATTTGACCTCCTCACCACCTCTGTTGCCACCACAGTCATCTTTCACCTAGACTTTTGCAGAGGCCTCCTCATTTGTTTTACTGCTCTGCCTCCACCCCTACAGTCCGTTTTCCACACAGCAGCTTTAAAAAATACATGTGCTTCAGATGCCATTCTCTTTTTTTTAAAAAATTCTCCAAAGGTGGACCTTTGCCCTCAAGGTAAAAGTCCTAGTTCTTCATTCTGTCCTATTAGATTCCACGTGACTTGGCCCCACATCATCTTTGCAACCTCATCAGCCACCACCCTGCCTCTCATTTACTTCACTTCACCTACACTGGTCCCCTTACTGTCCCTCAAAAGTGCCAGGCACCCTCTTGCCTCAATTCTTTACTCTGGCTGATCCCTTCTCCAGAGATTCCTTTCTGCCTTCCCCTCTTCCATCTAGTGTTTATTTATCATTCATATCTCAGCAAGACTTTCTCAGAGAATGCTTTTCCTGGCCACTAACCCTACCCCACAAAAGGAGCTCTTGTGGTATGGTGGGTAAGGCATTTGCCTGCTACCAGAAGGTAGATGGTTCAAACCCACCAGCTGTGCCACAGGCAGAAGATGAGGCAGTCTACTTCTATAAAGATTTATAGCCTTGGAAACCCAATGGGGGTCACTATGAGTCAGAATCAATTTGATGGCAGTGTGTTTTTACCCTGCCCCACACCTGTTCTTAGATATTCAGAGCACATTTCGTTGTTTTTAAATGATTATATTTGTATATTTGTTTACCAGTTGAGTACCTTATGTCCCTGACCTGAATGTAAGATTCATGATGGCAAAAATTGTGTATGTGTCTCATTTATTGGATAAACACTTAGCATCTACTGAAGAGAGTAGATACAGCACTAAACAAAACAAACAACCCTGCCTTCATGGGGACTGCATTTTAGAAGGGGAAGACAGTAAGGGAAGTGCTGTGGAAAAGAATAAGATGGAAGGGATGGTAGTAGAAAGTGGATGGAAGTAGAAAGGAGGGGATACTTCAGTATTAAATAGGATGGTCAGTGTTAAATAGTAGGACCTGAAGGAGATAAGAGGGAGTGAGCCACTCAGAAATCTGAGAGAAGAATGTTCCAGGCAGGAGGAACAACTAGAGTAAAGTCCTTGAGGCAGGCAAATGCTTGGTTTGATTGAGGAACAGTGAAGCAAAATGATTGAGGGGAAGGGTGGTAGGACATGGGGTCAGAGAGGAGGGCAAAATGTGTAGGGCCTTCTGGACCGTGGTGGGAGCCACTGGAGGGTGTTGAATAAAGGATTTGGGTTTTAATTGATGTCCCTGGCTACTGTGTGGAGAAAGGAGCAAGGGCAGAAGAAGGATGACTAGTGAGATTACTGCACTAGCTCAGGTGAGAGGTTATGGCAGTAGCAGTGGAGGGGATGAGAAGAGGGTCAAACTCTGGATATATTTTGAGATTAGAACCAACAGGACTCAGTGGAGATTCCAAAGTGTTTGGCTTGAGCAGCTGTGGAAGGCTGGATGGGGGAGATGTGGCAGGAGTAGATGTGGTACTCACCACAATAGATAGATAGAGAGGTAGGTAGCTCAGTCAATCGATCGAATAGATAGATATGGAGTCCTGGTGGTACATTGGTTCAGCTGCTAACCACTAGCTGTTCCATGGGAAAAAGATGTGTCTATCTGCTTCTGTTAAGATTACAGCCTTGGAAACCACATGGGACAGTTA